TTGTGCTATTACCACCCACAGAGAGTAGGCGACAAATGGAATTTCATTTAAAAGAGAGTTTGCATACATTTCTTATCGATCATGGCAGCAGTTATTCATCCATTGAAGATCCAATTATGGAGAAGAGCATATCCAGCTATGCTGTGGAGTCAAATGCACCTTTTTAAAAGACTGATTCAGGTGTCTAGATAGTTTTCCAGATTGAGGTAGTCTAGCTTTGTAGCATTCACAGTCTTTAATAATCTAAACCGTTTACATGAAGTTCTTTGCAAATTAACGTTGACGTCAATACCAAACCATGACTAGAAAATCGAGGCTCAGACCTTCAATAACTCATATACTCCAATCCAGGTTTTTTTCTGAGGTAAACCAAAGTGGACTGGAGATTTGAGATATCTATTCCTTGTGCGCTGTCATAAAATAATGTTAGATCCAGACCAAGGCGGTGTTTATTTGATCTCAAGAGTTCTCCTGTGAATGTTACTGCACAGTTCTGCCAGATGAGTCTCTAAAGATGACTCTAAAACTCACAGTTGCTTAGGTTTAGTTTCTAAAGTGAGTTAGGATTGCCTGAATTGGCTGTAGAGATCTGAGCGAAGTTGCAACCTGCACGATTTGCTGCTAGGCAAGATTGAGTTGCGATAGTCTACCAATGAAATGACTCTGGCCTAAATGAGGAGCTGAGTTTAGAGGTAGTCGAGGAAAGGCATTATTTTCTTTGAAATGGAATGGCATGAAGCCCAGGCAGGTGTCGTAGTCTACAAAGGACAGCTGGTGATCTAGGATGACAGCAAACAGCAGCTTGACCTTCAGCTGGGATTTGAGACCGTGAGAGGTTGGATGAAGGAACTCATCAGGGAAGTCTTAGCTTGGAGGTAGAGGGACTCAGGGTTGTGGGTGGACATACAGTTTAATATGTCAGAGGGGCATACAGAGATCCTTGGCATTTTGAGATTGTTGTCAGCATAGCAGGGGTAAAAGAAGCACCTGGATGACTGTTCTGGTGTAAAGCGGGATTCACACTGACACTGATTTGCTGCGACAAGGCAACCAGAAGTCATTCATTTTGGGTGAGATTTGGCAATTCGAGGCGACATGGGAGATTTGGACTGCTGGTGATGCGAATTCAACGATACGCAATTACAGTCATGTGATGGCTGTCAAAGGGAGTGTTGACCAAGAAGCATCTACTAGCAATTGTTCTGCAACAAATGTATTGTTATTTGTAAATATTGCCATTACCTTTTTATGTTAACAAGCACTAAATTACTGCATTGACTTGTGGCAAGATTTTTTAAAGACTTGTTAATAGTACCTGCAAAATTCCTAAATAGCTATTTGGCTATCGGTTAAAATATTTTTTTATACCCGTTTGGGCAATTGTTCTGCAACAAATGTATTGTTATTTGTAAATATTGCCATTACCTTTTTATGTTAACAAGCACTAAATTACTGCATTGACTTGTGGCAAGATTTTTTAAAGACTTGTTAATAGTACCTGCAAAATTCCTAAATAGCTATTTGGCTATCGGTTAAAATATTTTTTTATACCCGTTTGGTTCAACATCAAAATGCTGACCCTCTAGCATAAGCAGGTCCGTCCTTAGGGGGGTGCAACTGGTGCCCTTGAGGAGGCCCCGTGGCAAACGGAATCCCCCCCCCCCCCTTCCCCCTGCGGGACAGGGGGGTGACAGGGGCGGGA